CCTAATAATCATGGGTTCCCGTCCCTTTCATCATTTTTCATCATTCTTCCCTTCCCTTAATTCTATTGTTGGAAATTGTAAATTATCCGTAAGATCCCCAAAATAAAATTCCGAGAAAGTTTAAATAAATGGCCGAATTCCTTTTGTTTCTTTTCTCTTCTACAATTTTTAATCTTTTTTCTATGTTTTTAATTTCATTGCCGGGAACATAAAATAATAAGGGTATTCCCCCTCGAATTAAATGTCGTAAAAAATAAAAAAATTAAGGGATATTATGTTTTTCCCTTCTCCCCTACTGGTCGTAATCCCTCTTCCCCATCTTTAATTATGATACTAAAATAGAAAAAATTCGACGCCTGATTTCGGCCCTGGTCGTATGCCGCCAAAAAGGTGGCTGCGAGGTCAGTTCCCGCGATACCTCTCCGCGGCAGGCCAATCCGGGTCTACCCCTCTGAACGGCCGGAAAAGACGGTCCGTTGATGTGCCGAGCGCGATCACCCATCTTGCTATCTTTGAAGGTTACCCGTAAGGTTCAGTGCGCCCAAAATCAAGGGCGCCCTGAGCTCCCCTAATTTCCGCTGCCCGGTCTAACAAGAGTACCGTCAAAACTCAGACTCGTCTCTGCGCCTAAGTCCCAAAACTGCAGATCTCAGGCGGCGCACTGCTTGCGGCCGCCTGACAGTTAGCCCGGACCACTTCTCGACGCCCCCGTCGAGCCCTAGCAACTTACATCAGAAGAAGCGGACGAGCTTCAGGATGATAGCCCGTAAAGGACGYCCACGTCGGCGTTCAATTGTCTTATGTTTCAGTTTGTCATGAGTCCTGGGGCTAAGAAGATGCTTCTTGACTCTCCTGTTTCTTCTGGTTTTTGGTCCCGGCACGATCCTCTTTTTCTTTTGTCTCTGCTTCGAGGAGGGTGTTGACACGCCAGTACGTCTAACCCGAAGTCTCTGTCTGGCTCGCTTGAGTACGAATAAGCATCTCTTCTCTCTTCCTAAAGCTAACCCTTTGACCTTTCTCTTCTCTGTTCTTTTCCTTTTCTTGGAACTCCCCCCTGCCTCGAATTGCCTCAAGGGGGCTTCATCCTCCATTATGGTTTTTCCTTTCCCTTTCGGGCGGGTTAGCGATAAGGCGGGCGCGGGTCTGGACCTAAACAACTTTAACCTAGCACCCGCCACTGGGTCCTTCCACTTAGATCCGTCTAATTCTGCTATCATATATGCACCCCAGTCGAGTGCCTCAACCACTCTGTAAGGTCCCATCCATCTGTTGGCGAGCTTTCCGGTCCAGGTCCTCTCCAGCGCTGCATCGTAGAGAAGGACCATATCTCCTACGCTCACCCTCTCTTTCCTGATTCGCACGTTCTTATCCCATCTCTCTTTACCCTTGTCCCTTTCCACTACCAGACGATCTGCCGCTGTCATGAGGTCATCTTCCAAACCGTAGGCTATTTATCTCGTTCGGGCAGCTAAGAGTTCCTCTCTGGACATCTCCTCCGCCCAGTCGACGGTTGTCCAGCTGTCGACGTGAAACTCTATGGGAAGCGGACAATGTCGTCCAAACCACAAGGTGTACGGTGGGTATCCGGTACTAGCCCAGACCGTGACGTTGTCCGCCCATATTGCGTATCGAAAATATCGTGGCCAATCACTGTCCTTACCCTTGCACCACTTGGACAGTAACGCTATCAGAGTCTGGTGTCCCCTCTCTACTGGGGAGTTCGACTGTGGGTGATAGGCGGTGGCTATTGAAACTCTCGCACCGGCTCTCCTAAACACACTCTGAACCTCGTCGGCTAGGAATTCCGTCCCTCTGTCCATCACTATCTTGCTGACACAACCATACCTAGATAAGTATTCTAGGACAAAGTTCTTTACTTCCTCTGCCGCCTTACTCCTGATAGGTCTACCGTTCACGAACCCAGTGAAATCGTCTCGTATGTTCACGACGTAGTTCATATTGCCTACCCCTCTCGGCATTTTCACTAGATCGATSTGTACCTTCTCTCCTGGTCTGGTCGGATAGGATGGATGAAGTGGCTCTTTGTATTTCACAAGAGCTCTCTTCTGGCACTCTTCGCATKTCATACAGTACCTCTCGACGTCCTTATACTGCCCTTCCCACCAGTACAGCCGGCGTATCTTTTCGTAGGTTCCCTTAACTCCCCTGTGTCCTCCGACTACCCCGTCGTGAAGTTCCGCAACTATCGTCTGTCTCTCCTCAGGATCGCAGACTACTCGTAAGGGCATTCCCGACCCTACTG